CTATCTATCTGTCTGTCTACCTTTTGACTTTCACATCATAGCAAAGTGGTCTTCCGTTGCATTGTCATGCTTGTCCTACTGTTACCGCGCATGTACATTCATATACAAAGGTCCATATAAAATATATAATAATATATCAAATGTATTTTTAGATTTTATGTTCAGGAAACCAGCAGAGTTGCTTGGACGTTCAACTTCCTTCAACAACCTACAGGGTGCGTGCTTGCTCATAGTTTTCCTGTGAGTGCGTAATGACGCATCCGTCCTCCAGCGCCTCTCCTCCTCCCTCCCTCCCTCCACATCTGGATCTGGGCTTCCTGCTCATCAGCCACCACTCAGCGCACGTTGCAGGCCCGAGAGGAGCAGGTCAGAGACGGAGGGAGGGAAACGACGGCGGAGAAGCCGAGGGCTCGTAGCTCGCGTGCGTGCCAGCCATCATCCACAACCGGGAGCCAGAATCAAGGAGCAGGAGAGCAGAAGGAAGGACACTTCGCCTTCTCTCCACATCACGCCGATACTGTGCATCCTCTCTGTCCTCCATCCGTCGAGTCCAGCTTTTTTTTTCTTCTCCTTCTCTTCCCTCCTCTTGGTCTTCTGCAGTTCATTGGGGATGAGCTTCCAGTCCCCTGCTGGAAAACCTGGCCCCAGTGCAGGCGATTCTGGTACCTGCGGGTTGAGGCCTCACCACCATCGGTTCCAGAACAGAGGAGTCTCATCCAGACCCAGCCGCTCCCGGATTCAGAGGGTGAGCTGCGACCGCGCGGGTGGACCGAGCTTCATCGGCGAGAACAGCGCACTGCGGGACGTCAGGGTACAGAACACAATCCTTTACCCAGTCCACCACCACTCATCCACCCCGATCCCCAGGCTGCATTCAGCACCACCACCACCCTCAGGACGCCAAGTCAGAATAGTGCGGGGTCCCTGCCAGACATGCGGCTGCACCAGCCAGGTCGAGGCGGCGGCTTCCGGATTCCAGCCGTCCCTCCACAAATATAACGGGGAACATGCAGCTGGTCCGGCTGCCCGTCACGGTTTCCGTTTGAAAGTGACCCAGAAAACGCCGGAGTGCCACAGCTTCGCCGCTCTTTGGTCCGATGACCCACAAGACTAATGTCGATCCGTCGACCTGACTAGGAAATCCGAGTGATGTAGGGTTATATGGTTTGTTTGCCACGAGTGCGTGTGCGTCTTTAAATAGTCCAACAGGGAAATATATGTGTGGAAGGCTTTTCAGAAGGTTTATGTGACTTAAACATTTATTATACCTCCTCACTGTGGTAATGATCTCCTGCAAGTGACGACCCAAAGCCGTAAATCAATGTATTCCCGGGTTATGGAAGACTGTTTTGAATCCTTATTTCTGTACATGCCGTTAAAACTGTATATTTAGGGACTTGCACGGGCGTGTGTGCGTGTCTGCAGATTGAGAGGCGTTAATTTAATGAAGAAGGCGCTTGCAAATTTCCAATTTTTTAGCTGTGTGTGGTGTGTGTGTGGTGTGTGTGGTGTGTGTGTCGGCTAAAGCTGTGCCAGAAGAGGAAGAGGTGGGATATTTATAATGAGAAACTGGAATCACGTATCATGGATCCATTAACATAACAAACAGCTGTGTGTGTTATGTCTGTGTGCTGTTGTGTGTGTGTGTGTGTGTGGTGTGTGTGCTGTTGTGTGCTGGAAAACACAAAACAAACAGCACAGCGGCTCAATGTCAGCTCGAAGACAGGGAGGAGCTTTCACGTTGCTATGGATGAGACACCGCGGGTCGCTTGTCCCGGGTGCTGCTGGCATTCTCTATTAATTTATACCATGCTGGGATCTCGGGAACTCTCACGGGACCTCTGGGGCCTCTGATGTTGCTGTGTTAGATTCACACACACGTGCACACACCTACACACACACACATTACACACACACGCACACACACCACTTTGGAACCAGAGTATCCTAATACAGTCAGCACATTCACCTACAGTAATGGATGAGAAAACCCATCTGTTTCCTGTGTCTTTTTGTGTGACCGTGTGTTGTGTCTGTGGTGTGTTCATAAGTTCTATCCCGTGCAGGAGTTTCCTTGATTGGTCTCTCTTGGGACTCCACCCCCCTGAAGGGGAGCACACAAAACAGGAGGAGGAATTGAGAGGGCATAGGAGTGCATGAAGGGTGATACATGATATTAACAAAAAAAGGAGTTATTGATATTAATTGGTACAGCGAATGATTCACCACCTACCACATTACATTTCCTGCCGTCTTGGTTTGCCTGTGTTTCTCTGTGTGTGTCGTGGTGGTGTGTGTGTGCAGTGCCTTGATGCTCTTCTTTCTATGGCCTTACCTTAGAACCCGATGCTGGGCCCTCTTAGAAGGATTACCTGCAGCAACCATTTTTTTAATATTTGACGGGAAGATTGTGATGTACACCACCGGTTCTTAATTTAAAATCAGTTTGATTGATGAGGAAGAAATTAGAATTAAATGAATGAGATTGTTATAATAGAAAGCTGCAGGCAAAAAGCCGACGCAGCCATCCGCCAGTTTGACAGGCGCAGCAAGAGTGGGGCAGTTGGTTTATTACACGGCGGGCCCTGTACCTGCCTGAACAATGTGCCCTTGAATGCAACCTTTACATCACCCACCTGCCCTCATTGATTTTAAGTCGTTTTGTTTAAGACTAGCAAGCTTAACACCTAATTTATAGTTTTGCTCAGGCAGCAAGGGCAGTTGGGGTGGCTGGGGAGGTGACGGTGGGAGGTTTCAGGCTTTCACTTGCATTTTTAGGGAGGATTCACCTTCCTGTCACTGTGTGCTGCACCTGGTCTGCACTTGATCAAATCTTGCCCTCTGCCTTTTCCTGTTGTCAGTGTGACAGTGGTGTGGTGTCAGCATATTTTTTTGTGTCTTTTTTGGTTGTATGGTGAGGTGTTAGCGTATTTTTTTCACACATCTGTACTCTCTTGCATTTTGCCTGAATGTTTATCCAACAGTTTTATTTCTCTGTACAGATAAATGGACGTGGGTTGAGCACGGTTAGCCATGAAGTTGTGTTTTTGTGGTGCTTTTGCGTTGTTGTCTGTTGTTGCGAATGGCACATGGATGGGCACTATGGGGGGGGGGGGCAGGATCCTCTCCTCCACTCATTCTCTGTCTCCCTCTCCAGCTGAGCCTCCTATCTGCCCCACTTAGCCCATGGAGCGAACCGTAATCAGCCATTCTCAGGAGAGAGAAAGGCAGAGAAAAAGAGAGAGATGCACGCTCAGTCGTCGTCTTTGATGGAGCCCTTGGAGGTGTCTAGAGGAAGGAGCTTGAGGCTGACATTGGAGTGGGCCAGTAAAAGGAAAGGAGGCTGGTGGGGGGGGGCGAGAATAGAGGAGAGAGTGAGACAGGTACTGAGAAAGCGAAACGGAGATGAGAGAGATGGGAAAAAAGTGGTAAAAAGGTGCATTTGGGGTAGCTGTCCCGGTTTATCTATCTTGCTGGCAGACAAATAGAAAAGGTTGGGCAACAGAGGGACAGGCTGTGGCATCCTGTGGCACAGTGGAAGGTGCACACAATGTACTGGCAGTGTTTTAAGTCCAAATGGAGCTGCTCTTGCTGCACGTCAACACGCGCTACTGGATACTGGCTGATGAAAAGCACTGCGTTTAAAGTACCCTTACAAAACAGGACAGAGGAGAGGGATGGTGTGAGGGAGGACGGAGCACAGAGAGACATAGGCAGACAGCAGGATACATGTACTGTTAAAATATTCACCTTTTCTCTTTGTAAGCGTTGTTGGAGGCGGATGGCCGTTCTTTGTGTGTCTTGTGCAGACAGATGGACGGACTTGCTGTGGATGTGTGTGTCTGTGTACTAGTGTGTGTGTGTGTGCTCAGGGACCCAAGCAGCCTCGCTCTTTCCACAGTACTGAACTGTTTTATCTCTGCCTGGCAAAATAATTTAGCTCTCATACTGATGGTGGTGAGCAGGAATTGGCTTTGTAAGTTCAGTACTTTTACATTTTGGCCTGAAGTTTATCTCCAATCTCCCACCCATAACCTCTATTTAAACTTTAATTTGTATGAAGTTGTTCTTTTCTTTTTTGTGTGTGTGTGAGGGGAGTGTGTGAAACTTTTTTAACTTTAAAAGTTTGCCCATCAACTCTTTTAGAACATTTTTACCTACTATGTTAATTTCTTCTCTACTGTCTCATTTTAAAGCAATAATTCTGCATTTTGGTAAATATGTTTGTTTGCTTTCCTGCTGAGAGTTAGATGAGAAAATGGATACCGCTCTTATCTGTTAAATATATAGCTACAGCCAGCACCTGTTAGCTTTGCTTAGCATAAAGGCCGGAAGAAGAAGAGAAACAGATTGCCTGGATCTATCCAAAGGTTACAAAATCCACCTATCAGCACTGCCAAAGCTCACTAATTAACACGTTATATCTTCTTTGTTTAATCCATACAAAAAGTGTAAAAACAACATTGTGTCTCTAATAACCTGCTGACAGTATGTGGGAGTTTAACCTTCTGTCAACCAGGTGTGGACTAGAAAAGTTACATAGATATGTTGATCTTGTGGAGGGGCCCAAAACCTTCAACACAGAAGGTGAACTCCTTTGTACTGCACAAATTTATGGGTGTTGAATTATTATATTACAAAGAGGAGATGAGATTAAAGAGATGTATTAAATCTGAAAGAACATGGTTTTTATATTTCAATAGATTTTTTTTACAACGCCAAATAGTTTAAATGAAGAAATAAATTAATCTCATACAAGAAAAACCTTTATGCACAGATCAAGGGACTAAAATAATTGGCGCTATACAAATTAAATGGAATTTAATTTAATTAAAAGGTCAAATTGAAATATAGTTAAGTAATATAATGTGGAATATTATTATATTAACCTGCAGGCAACCTAGAGGGAAACAAATATATCAGTCAGTGAGATGCATAAGAGTCTGACTAATGTAATTGATGGTGGTGGACAAGTTGGTGGTGTAGTAAACTTTATTTTTGAAATATCTCTGGGTTGTTATAAGATGGCAATAATGTATCTCTCTCTCTCAGGAAAAATATAAATTAATCCAAATATATGAACAAAGGAAGTCCACAAAGGCAGCATGGATACTGCGCTCGAGACCCCACCTGGGGCTCCAAAGGAATCTTTCAAAGTTCTAACAAATTATTCATATATGTTTGCTTGTGTGCTCTGTATGAGGGGTGTCCGTGGGGAGGTAGGTGTTACAACAGATGGAGGAATATTATTCATAGAAACCAACTGTGAGGAGTGTTGATCAGAGTTGTTAAAAAAACATCATTGTCCCTTTAAGTCTGTGGGAGTTGCTGTAAAAAGGTAGCTTTTTATAGCTCAGACTGTCACACGGAGTCTTGCACTGACTCTGACTGCCTGTCACTGTGGGTCTGTGTCACGGGCAATATGAGCCCCGGTCAGAAGATTTACTGTAGCGTAGCCAAGACGTTCTCTGTCAACTGAATGCTTTCAGCTCATTGTGGAAGGACCTAATGTGACTTAAAGTCACACCCACTCCTAAAAAATAGACCATGAACATATTTTTTAAAATTATGAGCATGCTCATTTTTATGTCTCCAGTGGTGGAAGGTGTCCTGCATCCAGAAGGTCAAAGGGTCGATCTATGCAACAGCTTAAACATGATGTCTTGTAGTTGTTTTTTTCTGTTCTTTTCATCTAAATTGCTCCAGATAACAGCAGCAAAATGCCTAAAATATGAATGCAAATGCAAAATGTATGAGAAAGAAATGAGCGAACTTACGAAGAGACAGAGCAGGAACAAGAATGGGTTTGGGAATTCTGCTAAATCACCACCAATCTGATGAATTGGAGGGGAGGTGGAATAAAGAAGCACATCCGGACACACTAACGTATAAATACTCTTTCTCAGCCTTGAATTGACCTACATAGGGTATTTACCCCGGGATCAGTGCCAAATTGTAAACAGAACCCACGGAAATAATCCAGAAGTCTAATGAGAATCTCTTCAAGATCCTTTGGGATGTTGGCCTAAGAATGAACATACGGAGGAATATGGAAGCAAGGCAAACAACCAGCAGCAGCCAATAATAACTGAATGACATGCTGTCCTCTTTACTTCCCCCTTGCTTACCTCTCCTCTTCTCTCATCTGCCCTTCTACAGGAGTGAGACCGTGCTGCATCAATTTTGCTGCCCCGCCCCTGAACATACAGAGGCTGACACCACTGGCTCATCCGGGTAAGAGCTGCTCACACACACCAATCACAGACACTTTTATTTCCACGTTTATTTCTCTGCAGTCTTTTGCCTACAGTGTGTGCTCTTTCAACCATTGTACATGTGTGTCAACTATCTGAATCATGTCCTCACCCAGGTTTTTAATCATGCTTGTTTGTGTGTGCACAGTACTACTGTATTTGAGTGTGAACTGGTGTATTTATGGACGTGTGGAGCCTGGAGTTACAGTGAGAGAGTTAAATGCTTCGTAACCAACCTATAGCTCTCACAGCCTCAAGGGTAACTCGCACATAGAGAGCCTGAGAGAGAGAGAAATGGTGGGTTGTGGGGGAGGGGGGTATGAACTGATATTACCACTGCCATAGTAACTGGAGAATATAACTTTTGCTGTCTTTTTCTGCGTGGGCAGTTTGTTGTCTTTTTTTTCCTTTTTTTTCCTTCTTGCTGTGCGTGGGGGCGTGTGAATCCATGACGTTTCACTTGGGGTGAATGAGCAGAGCTCTGTTGTAAAACTTTGAAAAGCTGATTTTGTCATGTTTCTCAATGATTACTGCTTGCCCTGCCTCTTCTAGAATTTCTCCTATCTTTTAATCCTCTTTCTTAATCCTGTCTTTTCCCAGTCTACTTTTTCTGTCCCTTCATTTTCTCTAATGTCTTTCTGCCCTTGTATTGTTTATTTCTGTATGCATCTCTAATCATCATTTATCTGTCTGTTGGAAGACCTTACCTTTTCTAATCATCGCTCCACAATCATTTCTAACACATCCCCTCCTATCAAGTCTCCCTCTCATTCTGTTTTCTTACTAATATCACCATCTGCCTGTTTGGAATCCCTCTCTTTTCTCTGATCTGATGACTTAACACCCACACCCACGTAGTACTGATTGGATGAGCTAATGGCACAGCAAGAGTGGACAACCACCCAAGATGATGAGCTGTAGAGGAGCCATAGCTTGTTATTATCATCACATTAACCTGTGTGTGCTTGGTGGCTGCAAACCTGCACCACCTCTACGCACTAACTGTCATCCACTGCATATATATTGGAGTAGTGGTCGACCAATATGGGCTTTTCAGTAGCTGCTGTAGCAGGGCAGCAGATGGCCGATATATAATCCTGATATCAAAACAAGGGAAAGTAATGTATATTTCCATTATTCCATGCACATTATAATCTAATATACTTGGTTATCTTAGGCAGTAACATATTAGTGTAGATGGATTTTTTTCATTAATTAATGAGATGTAGATTCCCGAACTTGAGAGATATTTAAGGGAGAGCGGACATCTACACATTACAACATAAAATATTCAACACTAGCTGGTAAAGGTTTTAGATTATGCTGTCATAATGTAAACATTTAGAAACAATGACAGAAACTGGGGAAATTTAGGCAAACGTTTACAGCAGGATGAGAGTTATAGTACAGGGATCCATACTAACTTTTTCACCACCCCCCTAAAACTCACAAAGAGGAGAACTAACCAGCTTCACACTGACAAGGCTGCCTGACCGATGCCGGATGATCAACCGGATTTCGGCCTATCTGTACATCAGAGTACACAAACCTCCCTAAGAGATGTCATGTAATCCACCTCTAACCTGCTGTGCCTTTTTTCTACTTTTCTGCTGTGTGTGTGTGTGTGTGTTTCCCCCTT